ATAGAGTGCTGGTCCTGGAGTCAGGAAAGCCTGAGTTCAAATCCAGCCTCAGACACTAGCTGTGTGGTCTGGTGCAAGTCACTTAACCTCTGTTTTCCTTGGAAGCAGCTTAGTGGCTCCATAGATAGATCACTGGGTCTGCAGTCAATGAGACCTGAGTTGAAATCTGGCCTCAGACACATTCTAGGTATGTGGCCCAGGGCAAGTTACTCAACTTGTACAAACCACTCCAGTATCTTTGCCAACAAAAGCTCATTAGCAGTATGCTCCATGGGGTCAGGAAGAGTTGGACACAAGTAAACAACTGAACAAATGGAGGTTTGAAAGTTTTAGATGATTAAGGAAGATTAGGTAGTGAAAAAATGGAATAAAAACATAGTTAATTTTTGGACAACTTTGGAATGAGAAAAATAGGAAGTAAAGTCAAACATAATGTGTTTAAGTAAGAAAGATTTGTGCATAGTTGAATATAGAAAGAGAGGAGCAATGGAGAAGCAGATATTTAATAATTCAAAAGATGGGGAAAACTACAAGAGTGAGATTTTTCTTCTTTTTTTCCAATCCACAAGTATTTATTGAGTACTCTTAAGTGTTAGAGATACAAAGACAAAATATGAAATAGTCCTTGTCCTCAAGGAACTTACATTCTGTCAAAGGATAAGAAAATTAAGGGCTTAATTGATAATAATTTTAAAATGTCAATTGCAACCTGCTCCCAATTTATCTGCCCCTCTCCCAAAATGTTAGTCCCACACTGTGTGTGTGTGTATATGTGTGTGTGATATACACACATACATACCTGTAAGGGTGAGATTTTTCAAGAAGTGACAAGGCAGATCTATGGAGAAGTGAAGAATTTATGACCATACAAGAGATAGAGAACGTTATGAAATGCAAAATGGATAACTTTGATTACATTAAATTTAAAAGATTTTGCACAAACAGAATCAATGCAATCAAGATTAGAAGGAAAAGCAGAAAACCGGAAACAATTTTTATAGGAAACATCTCTGATAAAGGCCTCATTTCTCAAATACCTAGAGAACTGAGTCAAATTTGTAAGAATACACGTGTTTTGTAATTTGTAAGAATTTGTAAGATTTGTAGATTTGTAAGAATACCTAATTGATAAATGGTCAAAGTATATGAACAGGCAGTTTTCAGATGAAGAAATCAAAGCTATCTATAGTCATTTAAAAAATGCTCTTAAAAAGGGGGAGGGGCTAGATAGTTGGTGCAGTGGATAGAGCTCAGGCTTTGGAGTCAGAAGGACCTAAGTTCAAATATGGCCTCAGACACTTGACACTTAACTTGCTGTGTGACCCTGGGCAAGTCACTTAACCCCAATTGCCTCACTGTAAAGCAAAAAAAAAGGGAAAAAAAAGGAAAAAGAAAAAATGTTGTAAATCACTATTGATGAGAGAAATGCAAATTAAAACAACTCTGAAGTACCACCTCACACCTATTAGATTGGCTAATATGACAGAAAAGGAAAATGATAAATATTGGAGAAGATGTGGGGAGTTGAGACCTGATCTAACCATTCTGGAGAGCAATTTGGAACTGTGCCCAAAAGGTAATCAAATTGTGCATACCCTTTGATCCATCAATAACACTACTAATTTTGTATCCCAAAGAGATGAGAAACAGGAGAAGAGGTCCTACTTGTGCACAAATATTTATAGCAGATCTTTTTATGGTGGCAAAGAATTGGAAATTGAGAGCATGCCCATCAATTGGGGAATGGCTGAATAAGTTGTGGTATATGAATGTAATGGAAGATTATTGTGCTATAAGATGAGCAGGAGGATTTCCAAAAAACCCTCGAAAGACTTAAAATGAACTGATGCAAAGTGAAGTAAACAGAACAAGGAGAACATTCTGTGATGATCAACTGTGAGTGACTTAGCTCTTCTCAGCAATACAATGATCTAAGACAGTTCCAAAAGACTCATGATGAAAAATGCTATCCACATCCAGAGAAAGAATTATGGAGTATGAATACAGATTGAAGCATACTGTTTTCACTTGTTCTTGTTTTTTTCTGATTTTTCCACTTTTGTTCTGTTTCTTCTTTCACAGCATAACTAATGTGGAAATTTGTTTAACATGATTGCACTTGTATAATCTATATCGGATTGCTTGCTGTCTTGGTGGAGTGAGGGGAGGGCAGGAGGGAGAAAAATTTAAAACGCAAAATCTAATGAAAAATGAATGTTGAAAACTATCTTTACATGTAATTGGAAAAAAATAAAATACTGTTACATGTAAAAAAAGTGATAAAGGATCCACAACTCTAATAAAGGTATGTATTTTTTGTTTCATTTTCTAAAAAAGATTATGACTTTATAAAGAATCTAAAAATATCCCATATATAAAATAGAACAAACAAAAGAATTTTCTCTGAAAAAATAAAAAGAAAACAGAAGTTTCTGTAATGTAAAGCTTGTTTTTAAATAAATATATACACATAATATATATTAAATTAAATGTATTTTTCTTTCAGAATTATATATTTTTTCAATCAGCAAAAATCTGCCTTCTTTCTCTCCCACCTTGACCTCCAATTAAAAATGAAATAAAGGCAAAACTTCTGTTACAAACATGTAGTATAGCAAAACAAATGACCACATGTATTTTATTTATTGTTTTGAATCCTTCACCTCTCTCAGGGGGTCAGTAATATGTTTCATCCAAGTCCTATGGAATTGTGGATGGTCATTAAACTAATCAGAGTTCCTAATTCTGTCATAATTGTTGGTCTTTAACATATTGTTGTCAATGCTCTCTTGGTTCTGTTCACTTTCAACCTACTTCGACTTCTGGGAGCCAAGATGGAGGAATAAGCAGTAAGTCACTCTCCCCTCCCTTATTGACATTAAAAAACCCAGAGAATAATGCCCCAGGAAAAATCTTGAAATAGTAGAGTCAGCAGAAAGATTAGACACAGCAGTCTTTTAACTCATGAGGCTAGGGGGACTAATGGGAAAGGTCAATTTGCTGTGGTTGTGGTGGACCAGTACAGGAAGAGAGGCATCCCAACAAGCTAGTGGCAGGCCCCACCTCAGCAAATCAGTAACCAAGTCCCTAGCCCTCAGCACAAGAAGCCCTGTGCCTCAGAAGCAGAGATCAACTTTAAAAGCCAGAAAAAAGGCAAACAAAATGAGCAAGAAGCAACATAGAAAAACAGTGACCATAGAAAAATATTTTGGTGACAGGGAAAATCAAAACACAAATTCAGGAGAGGATAACATTGTCAATATACCCACATCCGAAACCTCAGAGGGGCATACGAACTGATCTCAAGCCCAAAAAGCCTTCTTGGAAGAGCTCAAGAAGGATTTTAAAAATCAAATAAGAGAGGTGGAAGAAAAATTGGGAAAAGAAATGAGAAGTATGCGAGAGTCAATAGCTTGGAAAAGGAAGGACAAAAATTAACTATAGAAAACAAGTCCTTGAGAAGTAGAATTGGCCAAATGGAAAAGGAGGCGCAAAAGCTAACTGAAGAACACGATTCATTAAAAATTAGAAGTGGGCAGTTGGAAGCTAATGTCTCTATGAGACATCAAGAATCAGTAAAATAAAATAAAAAGAATGAAAAAATAGAAAAAAATGTAAAATTCCTCATTGGAAAAACAACTGACCTGGAAAATAGATCCAGGAGAGATAACTTAGGAATTATTGGTCTGCCTGAAAGCAATAATGAAAAAAAGACCCTGGAAAGTATCTTTCATGAGATCATCAAGGAAAACTGCCCAGAGGCCCTGGAACCAGAGGATAAAGTAGTCATCAAAAGAATCCACCAATCACCTCCTGAAAGAGATACCAAATTGAAAATGCCAAGGAATATTGTAGCCAAATTCCAGAATTATCAGGTCAAGGAGAAAATCCTGCATGCCGTCAGGAAGAAACAATTCAAATATCATGGAACCACAGTCAGGATTATGCAGGACCTTGCAGTTTCTACATTAAAAGATTGGAGGGCTTGGAATATGATATTCCAGAAGGCAAAGGAGCTTGGATTACAACCAAGGAAATTGAGATGATCTTTCAGGGGAGGACATTCACTGAAATAGGAACTTCCAGACTTTCCTGATGAAAAGATCAGAGCTCAATGGAAGGTTTGATTTTCAAATACAATACTCAAGAGAGGCATAAAAAGGGAAACGAGAAAGAGAAAAATAGACAAAAAAAATATGTTATTCAATAAGGGCAAACTGCCCCCAGCCCCAATATTCTAACTTCCTTATGGGCCCCACAGAACAGCAAGCATGTCCTGTTTTAACCACACAGTCTGGCTTTAACCACACCACAGGCTCCCAGACTCAACACAGCCACTGCTTCTAGCTAGCCACTGCCCCCAGATCCAGTTCACATATTTGAACAGGTGTGTTCTTGTACTCAACCATAATCACATCATCCATTTAGCCCAAGACAGGACATAATACCTAATCTTGACCAGACAGGACCACAGTAGCTAGCCAATCAGAGGGCAGCATGATCAGGATGTTTGACTACAGAACCATAGAAGGGACCCCTCCCCATTACCTAATCTCTTAGCAAATCCCTCCTGACTTTTTAATTTTTGTAATTTCTGTTGTGTAATCAGCATCATTACACTATAAATTTGTCTGTGTGTCTTACTAAGTTGCTGGTTCCTCTTGGAACCATAACCCACTTCTGAGGGGTATCAATCCTTAATAAATGCCTGTACTTGTATTAGAGGTGATCTGATTCTGAATTCTTTGAGACAGTGCCGCCGCAACACACCATGAAACTGCAGCAGGTGTAATTCACATAAACAGAAGCTCTTTGGGCTGCATTCTCAGTAATTTTTAAGTGTGAAACAATCTGGAGACCAAAAGGTTTGAGAACTTCTGCATTAGGACAATAACTAAATACCTGAGTTTTGCTATATAAGCTTTTCACCTTAAAATGCTAGTGTATTCCTCATAATGCTGATAGCAATGGATTAACCAGTGGCTATTGTTATTTTGCAGCTGCAAACAGATCATGTGCTGTCTAGCCCAACAATCAAGTGAGAAAATTGACAGATTTCGAGCTCGTGCTGGATCCATTTTCTTGAATCTTTTGTACTTTGACAGTCCTCCAGTTCCCCACATTCCTTATAGAGAAGAATTAGAAAAGATATTTCCAAGGTATGAGAAATTTTGTATGTTTTCCTCAGACTCTTATTCCAACATGCTCTTAATTGCTGTGTTTATTCTTTTCATTGAATAGACTGTAAAAAAAATAAAATTTCATAATATACTATATTTATTTACTTGTTTTTACAGATCAGAATCTTCTGTTTTAAATTGGAATGCTCCTTCACAGGCATTCCCTTGCATTACTCAGCTCCTTGCATTGCCAACCTATCGATACCATGTCTTGTTAGGTTTGGCAGTCTCTGTTGGTGGCTTAACAGAGTCAACGGTAAGAAAACGTCTTGTGTTTTAATTCTTTTAAAGCCTTGAGTTGCATAAGGAGCCATGACACTTCATTTGAGGGGAAGAAGTTGCTTTGCCTGCTTTCTAAGCTTGTCATATGGGTTGGCTGGGTACTTTGTGAAACTCAGGGTGCTTTATGTGTGATTATTTCTGTTCTCTGAGGTCTTAGGGTACACTTGAAAGTACTTGGCTAGTACTTGTCTTTCACCACAGTGGATTTAAGGAATATCTTTGGTATGGTGATACAGTCACATTGCTGGAGCACAATTTACTCATTTATAAAATATAGAGATTGGAATAAATTTACCATCAAGGTCTCTTCCCTTCTAGAGCCCTGTGAAACTTTTCTTAGTAAATTGCAGTAGTGTTGGAGGATAATGATTGTAGGATAGAAAGATTATCACAGCTGTGGACCTTTTTATTGTCTTTTGCTGGTTTCTGTTCTTTTTAAAAAGCTTTTAACTAGTTAGAATGGTTTTGCATCATTCTGTGCATTTCCACACAAGATCAAGGATTTAGTTCTTTTCCCATGACCACAAGATTATATGGTCATCTTTGTTGTTAAATAGTTAGGTCGACAATGGAAAATCTTGTGCAATATGATTGAAACTTTGATGAAATTACCTTCTTCAAGATGACAGTGAAGTATATTATACACAAACAGACTTGGGAATACCTGTGGGGTTTAAAAATTGACTTTTACGAAGTATCATATATATTCTCAGTTTTTCTTTTCCTTAGTGATATTTACACAGGTATCTTTTATGATTTTGATTACCCGTTTATTTCACTGCTTTTGCTATTACAAACACCCAAATGTTTAATCAATTTTCATTTTCACTCAAAAATCAGTGGCATTTATATCATTTCTAACATTATTTTTCCTTCTTATATATTAAAAAAAATTGTACTTTGTTTAGAGTATATTTATTTACATTCTCCAAGCAATCTTAGAATAAAATCACTTTTAATACAATCAATGAATATAAAATACTGCTTCTCTGTGTTGTTTCAAGTCTTGTTCTTTAGCTTGAAATTATGAATTCCTGGGATCTGGAATCAGAGAACATGGTTTAGAATCCCAATTCTTCTATTCACTACCTTGTGACCACAGATAAATTTAATTTTTCTGGGCTTCAGGTTGCTTTTTTTTTGTAAAATAAAAGGGCTGGACTAAATGATTTTTTAGATCGTTTCAACTCTAAATCCTATGACTGTGAAATCTAGATTGTTTTCAAAAGATTATTTCCCATGGTATAGATAGTAGCTCAGATGTTAAGATTATGAAAATAGAACTTACTTTTGAAATAGGAATGCTATTTTTTTTTTGTTTCTATAGATAGTATACTTTTATCAAGGAAATACACCCAAAGTTTGCCAAGTTTTATTTTATTTTATTTTATTTTTGTTACCTGGGGCTGAGAGGAACAAATTAAATTAGGATTACTTACTTTTAAAGGAGTTAACAGAGTTTTTTAAATTGTATTAAGAAAATAATAGAACATGGCGGAGGGAAAGCAGTGACTGTCTTGAGCTCTCTCCCAAAGCCTTCCAAATACCTAAAAAAATGGCTCTAAACAAATTCTAAAGCAGCAGAACCCACAAAAAGATGGAGTGAAACAAATTTCCAGCCAAAGACAGCTTGGATGGTTGATCAGCAAGGTATATTGCGCCGGGCGGGGAGAGGAGTGCAGTGTGGTATGGGCACGCAGGCCTCAGTGACCCTGGAGCAGGCCTGAGAGGACTGAATTGTGGGCAGCTGTGGCAGTTTCCAGGCTTCTAAACCCATGAATGCCAAAGACAACTTAGAAGGTCAGTGGGAAAAGTCTGTGACTGTGGTGAGAGTGGAGCTAGGTCTCAGCCGCAAGTCTCGAGCCTAGCCCAGGGCCGTGGCTGTTTCCTGAGCTTCTGGTTCACAGACTTAGGGGGAATCGAGTGGCTGATCAGAGGGGGATTGCAGGGATCTCTTTGCCAGTGCTGAGGCAGAAATCTCTTGCTTTGCCCGTGCTTGGATCTGGGTCACAGTTCTGAGGGGCGTTCTGGAGCAAGGAGGAGCGCTGGCACGGAGCTTGTTGTGGCAGTGGAGAGAAAACACCTCGCCCCTTATCATACCACCTTGGAAGAATTGAAAATTTACAGGTCCCTAGAAGTACCTTTGAAAACAGCTGTACAAACCCCTGAAGCTTAGGACAGCACACTCTTCACATTGGAAGCAGACTTTTACCTTAACAAAGAGTTTAAAACTCAAGTAATTGGCCAGGATCATGAGTAAGCAGCGCAAAAGAGTCAGACTATATTATCTTACTTTGGTGACAAAGAAGATGAAAACATACAACCAGAAGAAGACAACAAAGCCAAAGCTTCTACATCCAAAGCCTCAAAGAAAAATATGAATCAGTCCCAGGCCTTGGAAGAGCTCAGAAGGGATTTTGGGAAGCAGGTAAGAGAAGCAGAGGAAAAACTGGGAAGAGAAATAAGAGTGATGCAAGAAAACAAACAAGTCAACAGCTTGCTAAAGGAGACCCAAAAAAACACTGAAGAAAATAACAACTTAAAAAATAGCCTAACCCAAATGGCAAAAGAGGTCCAAAAAGCCAATGAGGAGAAGAATGCCCTAAAAAGCAACATTGGCCAAATGGAAAAGGAAGTCCAAAAGCTTACTGAAGAAAATACTTCCTTAAAAATTATAATAGAGCAGTTGGAAGCTAGTGACTTTATGAGAAATCAAGACACTGTAAAACAAATCCAAAAGAATGAAAAATTAGAAAACAATGTGAAATATCTCATTGGAAAAACAGCTGACCTGGAAAATAAATCCAGGAGAGAGAATTTAAAAATTATTGGACTATCTGAAAGCCATGATCAAAAAAAGATCCTAGACATCATCTTTCAAGAAATTATCAAGGAAAACTATCCTGATATTTTAGAACCAGAGGGAAAAATAGAAATTGAAAGAATCCACCAATCTCCTCCTGAAAGAGATCCCCAAAGGAAAACTCCTAGGAATGTTGTAGCCAAATTCCAGAGTTCCCAGGTCAAGGAGAAAATATTACAAGCAGCCAGAAAGAAACCATTCAAGTATTGTGGAAACACAGTCAGGATAACACAAGATTTAGCAGCTTCTACATTAAGGGACTGCAGGACATGGAATATAATATTCTGGAGGGCAAAGGAGATAGGATTACAACCAAGAATCACCTACCCAGCAAAACTGAGTATACCCCTGCAGGGGAAAAAAAGGTCATTCAGTGAAATAGAGGACTTTCAAGCATTCTTGATGAAAAGACCAGAGTTGAATAGAAAATTTGATTTTCAAATATAAGACTTAAGTGGAACATGAAGAGGTAAACAGAGAAGAGAAAATCATAAGAGACTTCTTATGGTTGAACTGTTTACATTCCTGCATGGAAAGATATTTGTAACTCATGAGACCTTTGTCAGTATTAGGGTAGTCGGAGAGGAAAAATTATATGTACCTATATATAGATATAGAGAGATGTATTGATAGAGGGCACAGGGTGAGTTGAAAATGAAGGGGTCATATCTGGAGAATAAAATTAAGGGGTGAGAGAGGTAGAATGAGGTAAGTTATCCCACAGAAACAAAAACAACAGAAAAGAAAAGGCTCTTACAGTGGAGGGGAAAGGGGGAAGGTGAGAGGGAATGAGTGAATCTTATTCTCATAGGATTTGACTTAAGGAGGGAATAACATACACATTCAATTGGGTGTGGAAATCTGTCTTATCCTACAGGAAAATAGTGGGGGAAGGGGACAAGAGAGTAGGGGAATGATAGAGAGGAGGGCAGATTGGGAAAGGCAGTAATCAGAAGCAAATACTTCTGAGGAGGGACAGGGTCAAAAGAAAGAATAGAATAAATGGGTGGGCAGGATAAGATTAAGGGAAATAGAGTTAGTTTTTCATGGCCTGTCTACTATGGAAGTGTTTTGCATAACTGCACATATATAACCTGTATTTAGTTGCTTGCCTTATCAGTGAGGGTGGGTTGGGGGGAGGGGCGAGGTGGGGTGAAAATTTGGAACTCAAAATCTTGTGGAAGTAAATGTTGAAAACAAAAAAATAAATAAAAATTACCATAATTTAAAAAATAAAACAAATTACTCTTTATGATAAAAAAAAGAAAATAAATAAAAGGATTGGGAAATTAATAATAGTTATCTTTGCATAACACTTTATGGTTTCAAAGTGTTTTTACAATCCATCAACTTATTTGAGTGCTACAAAACTCCAGTGATGTAGTTGTATGAATATTATACTTATTTTAAAAGGTAATTGCCCAACATACAGCTAGTATATAATTGATCCTGAACTCAATCTTAGGTGATCTGATGTTAAAGCCAATGTTCTTTTTTCAGAACTACTTTACTTATTCATGATGTAGAAAATATCTTTAATCACTATTTTCTTATGTTGCAGATATCATGTAAATTTTTTTCTACTTTCAATCTCTATTTTGAAAGAAATCATTTAGATGGTTTTTAGACTTGTGTTTTAATGCACTTTTTCCTTACACTGTTTTATTTCTTGAAGAGCTTTTTCACCCATTTCTGAAAAGTGCTATTTGATGATAATACTAAAGGTTTTTTGGAGTGTTAATTATGGCCAGGACATTATACATTGTAATTTGAATATGCTTTTAATTATCACTACACTTTAACAACCCAGAAATAGTAACAAGGTGTATACTTGGGGGCCATTTAAACTGAGGGCACAAAATCACAACGTTGCAACTGATAATACTTTGCTTTGTTAAATACACTACAAAACACTGTATTACCAATAAAATGGATGTGGATGATGAATTGATAATTCATTTGTAACCTTAGTTTTTGAATAACTTTTATATATTTTATCCTGCCAAAAGAAGTTGTAGAACAAATTGAAAAAAATTCCTTTGCTTTAGGTGCTTTATGTTTAATAGGATTAAGTATATTGTGAATATTTCACAATAAGTTGTTAAAATATTTCATGAGTTGGAAGGTCTGTTGAAAACAGGCACATAAATAAACATGAATTGGTCCAACTGTACTGAAAAGCAATTTCCAATTATTCAAAGAAAGCCATTAAAATGTTTAAACTCTTTGACCTAGAGCCCTTCTATTAGGCATACACTTAAGGAAATCAGGGATTAAATTAAATACTTCATGTATATCAAAATATTTATAACAATACTCTTTGTAGTAGCAGAGAACTAAAAAGAAAGCATAACCCTATTGATTGGCCAAACAAGTTGTAGTTGTAGTTGTAGTTGTTATTCAGTCATTTTTTTAGTCATGTCCAATTCTTTGAGAGTCCATTTAGGTTTTTCTTGGCAGAGATACTGGAGTGGTTTGCCATTTTCCTCCTCCAGCTCATTTTACATATGAGGAACTGAGGCAAACAGGGTCAAGTGACTTGCCCAGGGTCACATAGCTAGTAAGTGCTTGAGGCCAGATTTGAACTCAGGAAGTGGGGTTTTCCTGACTCTAGGCCTGGCACTCCCTAGCTGCACAAACAAGTTGTAATATATAATGGCAAATCATTGCACTGTAGGAAATAATGAATACTGAGAAAGGTAGAAGACTTATATGCAAAGTAAAGTAAACAGAGCCAAGAAAACAATATGGATAATGACTCCAACAATGTAAATACAAAAGAACAATGTCAACTAAACTTAACATTTTGTAATTATATTGATCAAACTTGGTTCTGAAGAAAAAGATGAGAAAAATGCCCCTTTTTCTCATCATTGCAGGAGAATGTGGTGGAGGGAGAGATGGACCTATGACTTAAGAACATTTTATATATTGTTAGAGTCATTTGATATATTGGTTGATTTTTCTAAAATAGCTTTTTTCCTGTCTTTCCCCCATTGTTAACATTGGATATCTCCCTTGAAGAATATATTTTGAAAATGAAGGTGATACAGAAACAAAAATATCAGTAAAAACATTCCTGATTACTTGAAACTGAAAAGCTACCCACACACAAAAAAAATTCATATACCTAGTATAAGAAAGATTTAAGGGGGTTAGACTTCCACAGCAGGATAAGAAATTCCAGGATCTTGTGGATAGTCCCTCAACCAATCAGAAAGTACTGCAAAGTTTACTATAAACAACTAGTTCTTAAGAAAGAGCCCTAGAGGCTAAACCTATTGCAACCAGTTGGTTTCAAGGACTGGGCTTCAACAGGGCAAAGATTTTTCTCCACTGCGTTTGTTTAACAAGCTTATTGAATATGAACTGACACACCCCGAAGGCGGAGATAGCCACCATTTTCGAGCATGGGACCCATGAAGGGGGCAGAGTGAACAGAATATGAAAGAACATGCGATGGGCTATCCAGGAAGGGTGTAACTCAGATGATCCAGACCAATTGTAGCCCTGATGGGTGGAGTATGGATCTTACTAACGGTTTAAAAGTTAATTCTACCACTGAACCAGTGCCCACGTGCTACTAAAGTTCGTTGTGCCTGCTTCTCTCACGAGAAGCATAATAAAGACTTTCCTTCACTTACTGTAGTAGATTTTTGTTTCAGATTTTTCTGACACCTAGGACAAGAAAGGAAGCAATCAAATGAGGGGGACAAAATCTTCGTATTAAATTTCTCTGATAAGAGTTTGGTAACCCAAGATATGTAAACAGTTAGTTGATTTGGGTCTGTGAATCCATTTGATTGTTTGAATAACATGATATTCATGTACAGAATGGATTTGCTACTTTGTTGCATGATGATGATGATGATGATGATGATGATAATTAATGTTTAAAACATTTTGTATTTGGTGGATAGTGAATTCTCCATTGCTAAAGACTTTCAAATGGAAGTTAGATGTCTACTTGTTAGGACATTGTAGATGGGTTTAGGTATAAATGAATGATCAAAAAATGGAACAGCCACAAATGAAGACTACCATATTTGAGAATTTTGATTATGACTAATGTAAAACTAGACCAAAGATAACTATTTGGTCCTGTGTAAACCCAAAGACTTTTTGAGACTTACTTTATTTCAAAGCTCTGTAGTACATTTTAGTAGAATAATTATACTATCTTAAAGATGGGGCTAATATAGTGAATTTTTTTGAAAGACTTGTAGCTTAATGGGTCCATTCTTTTTTTCAGATACATTCTTGTAACAGTAAGGTGTTACGGGCTGCAGCACTTATAATTTGTTTCACAGGTTCGGATTTGTACCCACAAAGACATGTTCACACTTTTCCTAGTTTATAAATGATTTAATAATGACAATGATTGTAAACATACATGCATATAAATGTGATTACATGTGATTATACAATCTTAGAAGCAAAGGCTATTAACAGAAAGATAGAGAGATAAAGAAGAAGGAGTACATCACCAATCCGAGGAAGCACCAACTCCTGAACATCTGACTGGGGGAGTCCTGTATCACAGCCTTCAGGGTCTCGGTTGGGAAAGTCAACAGAGTGTGCATCCCCATCTCTGAAACGAAGACCTCCAAAAGTCCCTTTCCCAAATGACCTTTTTTATATCTATGTAAGCCATGGGAGAACAACCTTGGAACAAAGGTGGAGCTTGGCCAAAGCTCCAGATGCCTATTTTTTTTATGTACGTATCCAAGGAGAGGCCAGTTCCTTTCCTCAAGGAATCTGAGATATTCCTTGAGATAAGAGTTGTTTCGCCCTCGTAACATAGTTTGTTTTATTCTTTGATGTTCTGTTCCTGTGGTGCTCCTGGTCACACATACTAACTTTAAATTACATTTCTTATGTCAGGTCATAAGGTGGTTGTGCAAGGGGCTGGGGAGGATCTCCTCAGTTTCCCTTACAGGTCTATAAATTGGTAAATGTTGTGATTTTTTAAAAAGTCCAAATCTCTGCCTTCATTAGTGTGAGGAACTCCCATTGAGGAATTTGTGATACCTATCAGTATCTCTTCTAGAGCAATGAGAGGTGAAATGAACCATTATGTTTTATAGGACTGAAGCCTAGGTCTTTTAGAACCTAAGTCCAGCTCTCTATCTATTAGGTACCACTGCCTTTCTAAGGATAATAAAAACTGAGGTAGTCATTGTGAGAAGACTAGTATTCCCTTCATGGAAATATAAGTTGGTCTAACCACTCTGGGAAATAATTTGGAATTATTATAATTATAATTATTATAAATAATGAATATAACTATACATTATCATAAGTTATTATAAATGAATAATTTTTCATTATAAGTGCCTAAAACTTACCCCTATTGACCATATTACCTGAAAAGGTCAAAGAAAGGCCTCACAGAATTGAAAGTAGCTGTCATAACAAAAATACTGGAAATAAAGGAAGTGTCTGTTGACTGAGAAATGGTTGAAGAATCTAGTATATGAATATAATAGAATATTATTTCATCATAGAGAATTCATAGAAACTTGGGAAGATTTGTTTGACAGAGAAAACAAAATAGAACTAAGACAACAAACTGCAGAGTGGCCACAGTTATGTATAAGAAATAAAATTGAGGCCATGTGGGTTCATTAAATTCTAACATTGACTATGCATTGCAAGGATTAAGCTGAAGTTCTTTACAATATATCCCTGCCTGAGTCGTGGTTGTTAAGAGTGTTCATGTGCGGTTAATTTTCCTCTTATATCTTTATCTGCCAGAGATGGATTCTTTTCCCCAAGTGTCCTAACTGAATATTTTTTTGTGTGTGTGTTACAGGTCAGGTACTCAACACAAAGTGTTTTTGAGTACATGAAGAAAATTCAAAATGATATTCAAGCCATGGACAGCTTTAGTGAAACTTTGATTCAGGTATTTGAGGACAACCTCCTGAATGACAGGTAATTTAGACATCTTAAAGTTATGAGAATAATGAAGTAGTAGTAGTGATAGTGGTGGTAGTAGTAGTGGTAGTAGTGGTAGTAGTAATACCTTCCATTTGTGTAGCACTTGATTTCAGTGTTCCTGTTTCCTCATTTATAAAATGATGAAATTGTATCATGATTTGTATGTTCTATTCAAGCTGCAAAAACATCTATATTACCTTATTTGATCTTCCCCAAAATCTAATGTGGAACAGAGATATACGAATTAAGTAGGACAAAGTAAAATAATCAAACTATTGACATAAACCTTATAAAATTTAATTCATAAATAATTAAATGTATGAATAATTAATTTAATATGTAATATATCTTCATTTTGCTTCAGTCATTTATTTACATGGTTTGGCATTGAGTTCTTAAGAAAATCATTCATCATGAAACTACACCTTTATTAAATGTACTATTGACAAACAATTCACTTTTTCTAAGTCTTGTCACAATAATATGTTTTTCAATGAGGTTTAAAGCAGATGAATTTGGTATGAAAATGTTGATACTTTAGACCTTAGAGAAGCCCTGGTCCCCGAGGAATGCCATCAAAGTACATTAGATATAACAATGATAAAAAAAAAAAACTAAAGAGAATTAGCTATAAGCTCCTCTAGTCAGTTCAAAAATGTACACAAACAAAACAAAAAAAATGTACAAAGAAAAAATTGTCAGAATCTCCGGGAAGTGTGCAGTGGAGATAAGATTACAAAACAAATAACTTGGGAAACAGGTCAAGGAGAGATAGCCCAATATTCATTATACAATCTGAAAATCATGACCAGAACTTAATAATTTATATGCCATTTTTCAGGAAGTTATAAATGAAAACTGCCCAGATGTCTTAGAACAAGAGCACATTGTGTAAATAGGAAGAATTCACTGGTACCTTCTTAAAGGAAACTTCCAAATGAAACTCCCAGCAATATCATAGCCAAAAATCTGAAGCTTCCAGGTTAAAGAAAAAAATATGTATTTCAAGCAGTCAGAAAGAAAGAGTTCGGGGAAAAAAAAAAAAGAAAGAGTTCAAGTACAAAGTTAAGATCACATGAAACTTGGCAGCTTCCAGTTTAAAGGAGAGGAGAATTTCAAATATGATATCCCAGAAGGCCAAAGATAAAGACTTACAACCAAGAATAAGCTATTAACAAAATTAAGTATAATCCTACAGAGGGAAAAATGGATCTTTAATGAAGTAGAGTATTTCCAATCACTCCTAGTGAATTCCAGGACTGGGTAGACACTTTGAAATGAAAATATAGTAAACAAAAGAAACATAGAAAGGTACACAGATTTGATCAATGAAATGGGACTGGAGAAGGAAACATGTATCCTCTCAGACCCTTAAAAGTATCAGGGGGTTGATAAATTTAAATAAGAAAGGCAGAGAACCTAGGAGCTATGTTGTTGTTTTTGGTGGTCCTACGAATACAAAGAGTTGTCACTTTACATAAGTGGGTCATTCTGCAGATCCCTATGTAAAGCTATTTTTTATGTAATGTTAATTTGCCCAGGAAAGTGGGGAAGAGGCGCAAGAAAAGAGGAAAGGGTCTCACGCCTGCACAGAGTTCAAGGACATGTGAGGGGCCAGAGATAGAGAAGTGAGAGTAGGAAGAGGAACATACAGGGGGCCAGGGCCAGCCATGTGGGGGCATGACTGGAACCAAGAGGAAGAACATGAGGGGCAGACATGTGGGGACCAGACACAGAGAAAGACAGGAAAGCTTAGGTGTCATGCAGGAGCTGGGAACAGATACATGGTACTCAAGTGTGGACAGATGGAAGACAGACAAGCAGGACTGGCCACATGGGTGGATGGGCAAAGGTCTCCTCTCTTGGTGCCGGAGGTCTCAAATCGCACCCCTTATCTGGCTGTGGTAGCAATGGCCATCTCTTCATGTCCATCCTGCTTGAAAGGGTTTTTTAAAAGGTATTTTAAGGGTTTTTTTGTTGGTTTGGTGAGAGGCCAAGAGCTCTAAGTTGAGGGGCAGGAGCAGAGAGAAAGATGGGGTGGGGAGAGCACCGTACTATCCAGTAAAGTTAACATAGGGTTTTTTTTTTTAAATGTGGATTTCTTTCAGAATTCTTCACCTAAAATTGAATTTGCGTAATGTGAATTTATGTAAAGAGAGAACTGTTTGTAATTTGAAGAGATAGGAGACTATATGGGGAAAAAAAGGAGGAATCCTACTGTCTCACATAATAATCATACATGCATAAGATGAAGAGTATAAAAATACAAAGAATGGGTAAGAGAAATAGGTATGCCATGAGCCTTACTTCGATATGAACCAGAAAAAAGGAAGGTGGAACACTTATGAATTAATATCCACCAGTGCACATAGTATACATACACAAACATGTATGAAGAATAATGTATAGAAATACATTAAACTTAATAGATAAATAGGAAGGGAGAGGGCAAAGGAAGAGGGGGTTTTGGCAGGATAGACAGATAGTTAGGTGAATGTATATTCATCAGACATACTCCCAAGTGTGAGGAGTGACTGTGTATGTCAGAATGTAAGAAAGAACTATAATAGAAAATATAATCAAGGGCAAGGCAAAGGGAAGAGGAAAAGAACAAGGGAATGGAAACAGATTGTGACACTTAAAGATAACAAATGTTAGGCAAACAACTCTCCGACCATTTCATAAAAGGAAAGGGGAGGGGGCAAAGAATGGAAAAAGTAGAAGACGACAGGATGGAATATATAATTAACAGTCATAACCCTGAACGTGAATAGGATAAACTTATCCATAAAACAGGAAAGGACATCATAATGGATTAGTTAAAAGAACTCAGGAATGTGTTTTTCATAAGAAACACAGTTGAAACATAAGGATTTACATAGAATTAAAATGAGAGGTTTAAAGCAGAATCTGTTATACTTCAAGTGAACTAAAAAAAACAAGAGTTGCAGTTATGATTTCATACATAACTATAGCAAAAAGCATACATGTAAAAATAGATGAAGAACTACATTTTGCTTAATGTCATGATGAATAATGAAATAGTGAATCAAAATCAATACTTAATATAAATGCACAAACAGCATAGCATTTAAATACTTTTTAAATTACTTTTTTAAATTTTATTTTTTATTTATGGAATAAAACAAGCATTTCTGTAAAATAGTACCAAAAAAAGACAATTGCACATGGAACCACAAATCTGCTATGCACAATTTGCTATTCTTTTTAAATATACAACAAAATTATCATGTAAATTTCTTTTCTTTTTTTTCTCTCCTCCACCTTTGAGATGGCTACCATTAGATAACAATATACGTGTGTATGTTTGTGTGTGTGTATATAAAATTATTCTATATGTAATTCTGTTTGTCAGTTCTTTCTCTGAATGCAGGTATCATTTTTCTTCATATGTCCTTTATAGTTAATTTAAGTATTTATAACAGTCGAAACAATTTATTTCCTCAAAATCATTCTTAAAACAATATTGCTTTAGGGGAAGCTAGGTGGCACTGTGGATAGAGCATCGGCCCTGGAGTCAGGAGGACCTGAGTTCAAATGCGGCCTCAGACCAAACACTTGACAGTTACTAGCTGTGTGACCCTAGGCAAGTCACTTAACCCCAACTGCCTAAAAATTAAAAAAAAAAAATAACAACAATATTGTTTTTACTGTTTACGATATTGTTTTGGTTCTGTTCATTTCACTCTTCATTATGTTGTGCAAGTCTTTCCATCTTTTTGTAAACTCATTGAGCTCATCATTTCTTATAGCACAGTAGTATTCCATCACATTTATATACCACAGCTTGTTCAGCTGTTCCCCAGTTGATGGGCATCCCTGCAATTTCCAGTTCTTTGCCACCACAAAGAGAGCTGCTATAAACATTTTGGAACATATAGGGTTTTTTTTTTCTTTTTCCCTAATTATCGTTGGAGACAGACCCAGGAGAGGTGTGGCCAGGTCAGAGGGTATAGGTAGTTTAATAATTCCTTGGGCATAATTCCAAATTGCTCTCCAAAATGGTTGGATCATTTTATAGTTGCACAAACAGTGAATTAGTGCCCCAATTTTTCCACATCCTCTCCAACATTTGTCACTTTCCCCTTCCATCAGTTTATCTAATCTGGTAGGTGTAAAATGATACCTCAAGGTTGTTTTAATCTGCATTTCAATAATGATTTAGAGCATTTTTATATGACTATAAATTGTTTTGATTTCTTCATTGTAAAACTGCCTGTTCATTTCCTTTGATCATTTATCAATTGGGGAATGACTCATAATCTTATAGATTTGACAAAATTCTAATTGCTATTTGTGAATTTTCCTCCGTCTTATTTTTACTCACTCTTTTCCTTCTCAGCCTCTCTTTTTGCCCTATCTCTGTTACCTTATCTTTTCCCCTTACCATCTTATCCCTTATTTTATCCATCCCTCTAAAATTCCCTCCCTTGTCTGCTCCCCTCACCCTCCTAATCTTACTGTATACAGCTTTTTTTTTTTTGGTATTAATAAAGCTTTACTTTCTTTAAAGTGTGGTGGAGGGGCACATGATGGGAAAGCATAGGCCATAGCATATCATCAAGGAAAACTGAGTAAAAGTGATAGAAGGAATGTCATGAGAGTGAAAGATGACCAGAATGAGGTGGGCCTATCACATAGAGAAAATGAAGGATTCCTGGGGAGACAGCCTGTAAGGGCCATTAGTATGTACATAATATCAAGAAACGTAGAGGAAGGCCACCAGCATGCTGGGTAATTACCCTTTGTTGGATTTATGGACGGATATGGACAAGAGGCACAGGGAGTAAAAAGGTGTGGATGGGTTGTAATCTTCACCTCTGGGGGCATTTCACAAATTTATTACACAGATCCGCAAGTACTAACGTTTCTTCTGTCTGTTCTCCTCACTTTGTCTCTGTGTCACCAAGCACCAGTTGATTTCTCTCTTCCAATTTATTGGGGTGAATGCTCAAGGGACAAAAATGGATAAA